AAAAATAGACATGGTTTTGGAGTCATTATTTGATGAGTGCACTAAAGCAGGACATGCGTCTTTGTATTTGTCCTACAACACTGACTTATATGCAGGTAGGGAATAAACAACAAAACCAAAAATAACGAAAAAGCTGAGCACAAGGATAGCTACAGTGCACAGTCAGCCTAATAGATCTTATGATATAATCTACCTTATCTAACCTTGATTACACAGAATCACAGAATTATTTGGGTTGGAAGGGACCTTTAAAGATGATCCAGTTCCAATCCCCCGCCATGGGCAGGGACACCTTCCACTAGACCAAGTTGCTCAAAGCCCTGTCCAAGCTGGCCTTGAACATTTTCAGTGATGGGACATCCACAACTTCTCTGGGCAACCTGTTTCAATGCCTCACCACCCTCACTGTAAAATATTACTTCCTTATAGCCAATATAAATGTCCCCTTTTTCAGTTTAAAACTGCTGCCAATTGTCCTATCACTACATGCCCTTGTAAGAAGTCCTTCTCCAGATTTCTTTTAAGCCCCCTTTAGGTAATGAAAGCCTGCAATAAGGTATCCCCCAAGCCTTCTCTTCTCCACGCTGAACAAGCCCAACTCTCTCAGCCTGTCTTCATAGGAGAGGTATGCCAGCCCTCTGCTTACTTTCATGGCTCTCCTCTGGACCTGCTCTAGCACGTCCGTGTATTGAGAAACAAGTCCCCAGAATTATTTTTGGCCATTTAACGTGATGTCATTAAAATCTCCTGGACATACTGGAAAATTAGCGTGTGTTCAAAGCTGTCATACCATGCATCCTTATAGTGCCATTAGAAAGTTGCACTGGCTTCATGTCCTTCCATGCAGCCCTGCCATAATACATATTTAATACTTCATTATTTCTCATCCTCCAAAATTGGATTTTCAAATTTGGAAGAAAAATAGTCAGAGAGGAAAGTATGTAAAAAAAGCTAAAAAGTAAAATATAAGAACAGGAGAAAAGTTATTTCATAAAAAGAAGGGAGGGAAATTATCAGGTTGGCACCACTGTCAAGCTTTGTAAACTGACTGTTCTTCCCTGTTTCCCCTCTTTTTCTAAGCTATTCTGAATAAGGACAGCAAAATTGAAAACTGACTTGCAAAAGTACATCATGATACTGCATGACTGGGCAATAAGATGACAGATGAAACTGAACATAAATTTATGCAGAATAATTCAAGTGCAGGAAAATATATACCAACTACAGACACACACTGATGGGCTCTGAACTAGATATTACCATTCGGAAAAGAGTTCATAGAGTTGTAACAGGCAATTTTATGAAAATGCCATCTCATTGTTCAGTCACAGTCAAAAATAAAAACAGAATAATCCACAACACTAGAGAGGAAAAGAGAACAAACCAGGAAATTTCATTATGCCAGGGGATAAATCTGTGGTGTTCTCAGCTCATGTGCAGTTCTGGTCTCACTGTTTTTAAAAGGATATAGAACAAAAGGGTACAAAGAGTGGCACATATGATCAAAGGTATTTAAGGGTTTCTAAACAGGCTTCAGACTAAAAAATTTCTTAAGGGCAGATATTAGAAGAGCCTATATTCTCAAGCAGAATGAAGAATGAAATTGTTCACTTTTCTCTTCCAGCATCAGGAAACACATTATGACACCAGTAGGTGACAGGTTCAAAATAAGCACAGCACTTCACACAAACATAGAATCATAGATTGGTCTGGGTTGGAAGGGAGCTTAAAGACCATCTAGTTTCAACACCCTGCCATGGGCAGGGACACCTTCATGGAACTCTGATGTAAAATTGCCGGCACTCAAAATTTGCACAGATCTAAAAGGCAATTAAAAAAACTAAGAAGAAAGATCTATATATTGAAAACAAAGTAATGCTGTGGCTCAGGATGTCCTTGGACTGCCTACTAGAGAAAGCTGACAAAATATGCACATTCAGTTATCACCAGCATTTCATCTCCTCCATAGAGTTAGGCATCTATCTAGCCCTAGTAAAACCTCGAATTACTCCCTGGGAAGCAGGGGGGAGGGGGAAGAAAAGTAAAAGAACAGAAATTACCAAAAAGAACAAAGTGAAATTAAATGGAGGGCTTTAGGGGTCAGATGATAAAAACTAAGTAACTAAGGGGCAGACAAAGCAGAGCACCTTAGCTGCTAGCTACAGTCAAAGACAATACGGTGCTAGAGACATATATCATCTGAGCTGGTATAGGCCTTCCTGTGTACCCACATACAGTTAGCCTAAAAAAGAGAACATATTTTAGGGTATGACTCAGCAAGCCAACGTGCCTCTATTAGCACAACACTTGAGCATGTGGTCGATACAGCCATAAGGTCCATGGAAGTTAATGATGTTAATGTAAAACATTGCATCAGACAGGAACAAAAATTTTATGTACAGCAGAAAGATAAAATCTGAACTTGCTGAAGGGCCTACTGAAAAGATGGAATAGGCTGATAGGTAAGAGTGGCACAGACCCAAGAGGATCCAACGGAACAGAAAGCTAAAAGGTAGGAACCAGTGCTACACATAAAGATATGGAGCAAAAGCAGTAGTAGGATACGAATCTAGTGCCCAAGAGGAAGCTGAGATCAAGGGAAAGTGTAACAAGCAAATATGCTAGCATTTATTCCAAGGCATAAACAGAATTATAGTCTAACGATGGCAGAAGACACAGATTTGACACAGAACAAAATAAGTGGGAAGCTGAGCCCTGTGCTATGGGATGAAGGAACAGACAGAGAAATTTGGTGGCAGCAAGTTAAGAATGATGCTGGAGGTAAAAGTCCATGCCAGAGTCTGTCAATTGCTTTCTCACGAAGCTAGTCAAATGTTAAGACAAGGAAGAAGAAAAAGGTTGGATAAGCTGTGGGAGTTGCAAAATCATGGAAGGTACTGGAAGCAGCTATCTAGAAAAATCAAAACTGTTGCAGACTAGTGCCTTTCACAACAAGATGCACAGCTAGCAAAATAGTCTTTAATTTCTTCTTCTTAAAGAGAACACTTTAACCATACCACCATTTACTATAGATTTTGCAAACACTCAGGGTATTCTAGTGTTGCTAAATTGTTCATTAAAAAAAAATTAAAAAAGCTAAAGCTTCCATTTTGAATTCTCACTGACTGCTATTTAAAGAAATAGCTTACAGTTCTGAACTGGAACAAAACTTTAAATGCTAGCTGATGAAACCTACATCGTGATGCCGAATTATTTTTCTATTGGATCTTCCAGAATAAATTTAAAAAATAAGTTAAACTTCCCCTTTCTTCAAATTGCCAAGAAACTGAAAAAAATCTCTGACTTGTTAAATTTGCGTATCTCAAAGATGCTCTTGCAAAAATACACTGAAACCACCAAGATCACCTTTTGCCAAACTGCATGTGCTACCATGAAGTTGGAATATGCCTGTAAAGTCAGAAAATGAAACCTTTTGGAATAAAAATAAGAGACCATCATAGAAATGCCTTGGGAAATCTCTCTGCCACACTGAGAGTCTTTCAGCTTACAGACTTCTTCAGAACACTGTACAGATGTGACCAGCAGGGAGGCAGATGGAGAACAAGGGAGACAAAAACTGTGCAGCAAGTGATGTGTGTAGCCACCATCCTTGCTTGCTAACAATATCCCAAAGCACTTTTCTTCCCACACTAGCAGAAAAATAAAATCAGTATTATTTAGAAGGGCTAACCATATGGTTTGTGTAATCTTTATATGCTATTTTCAGTACATTATTATACTACATGATAGAGACCTGCAAAATAGGATTAAAATTTGCTTTCTGTTTTACAACCAACCTGTTCCGTTTGGATACCATTCTATGATTCAGTGATACAGAGACAGAGATGAGGGCACTGTACCAGAGTGTATTACTTCCACATGCTGTCTCTACCTTAATACTCTTAGAACAATGGAATTGTTCCATGTGGGGCATATTACTGGGTTCCCAAGCTCAAAACAGGTATTTATCAGCCTTGGTGATAATTGTTAGTAAATATTTGATTAAATTCTAAAGTCCTGACTTTTTTTTATATTCCATTTCAGCCTACGTGTATCTGTCTGCTTCGTGCCTTCCCAAAGTAGAATGCTGTAATATGTAGAAAAATAAAAAGAGATAGGAATAATGCAAAAATATCAACTACAGGAAAGAAACTAAACCTAAACCCTGAAATCCATTACTCATAAATTGTGTCCTCTCTCTCAGCTACTCCTTTCTTTCCTCTCACTCTTTTTTTGATAATGAAGTATCAGAATCCAGAAGCCATTTTCATTCTAAATTAAGGTATCCACACTGCTGTAAGAACAATACATATCAGGGGTTTTGTCTGGGTATGTTTTCCCATTTTCACTGTCATTTTTGTTTTAGAATATACAAAATGTTGCAGAAGCACATGTAAATCACCACTCTCTTGCCCAGTGGAACAGAATTTCAGTTACCAATGCCAACAGTTGCCTACAGAAGGCATCTACATCTGGTCTGCTACATCCAAGACAGCAACCACCGGCACACGTTTTGCTTTGTTTGGAATTCATCACCGTGGTGCAGCTGAGCCTCAGATTAAAAAAAAACAACTATGAGCCTCCAGGGTTAAACAGACAAATGTTTTCAGTCACAACAACTTTTTTGGGGAAGGAAGCAAAGCCATAACAATGTATGTAAGAGGTTTTATGTAAATCATTAAAGGCCTTCTGACTTAAATTGTTGCTAACACCAAGAAGTTGCTTAATGTACACTTGAGAGTGTGAAGGCAGAACAGATGAATTGTCTCACAAATCTTACTTGCTCAGTTGGAAAAATGCAAAAATATTTGTAAAAAAAAAAAAGAAAAAAGAAAAAAGAAAAAAGAAAAAATCATACTCCTGCTCACTGCCATTGAAATTTAACAGTCTAATTAATATTCATTATTTCTGAGTGCATGATGACTTCTACTGAGAGGCAGAAGGGGCAGATACAATCAGTAAACAAACTTACTGTCAAATCCACAGAATTCAATACCTACCTAGCCACTCGTTGAATTTTTTTACTTCACTAGGAAGTCCCAGCTCAGTAAAATCACCAGCATGTATTAACACATCTCCATATGGCATTTGGATGGGATCAGTTCTTGAGTGAGTATCAGAAATACAGACAAATCGTGTATATCCTGGAGGTTTGGGAGCATCATGGGGCACCGGATCAACCCTGTAGGAAATGCATCATAACAAGGTTATAAAGTACTTAATGTACTTCTTAGTGTCTACTTTGCAGTTCTAATACTACTTTTTACCTTTATAAAAGATTACACAGACTTCTAAATCTGGCTGAGGGAAGGGATTTATTAAAACAAACCTAACACTAATGGGAGGTGTAAAAATTCTTGATGTTCACATCACAACATTTTCAGTATTTGTTGGGTAGATGGATTAATTTAAAGAGATTAAGGAAAAAAAATGGACTATGGCAATCACTCTGACACAAATACAAATAAATCAAAGGCATCACCAGTTTCAAAGGAATACTTACTATCCTGTTTCATTGTTTAAATATGATTACACAGTATACAGGGAAAAGATTCATTTTAGATACATAAACACATTTCAATGTATTTTTTCTAATTATAACTTTTTTCCCCTGCAAATTATGTAATTCCAGCAAATTTAATTAACACATTTTGGAGATATGTTTCAGTGTGTTAACGCAAAGCAACGTAAGAACTCTCCTTACAACAACTGTAAATGTACATTCGAGTCTGACTATTGTCAGGATAAATGTGTCAACTTTCTGGGCTTGATTATACTAAAAGAAATCAGATGCTCTGAGGGGTGAGGCTGCATTGTTCAGAGCCCAATCTCGATATTCAAAACTGAGGAAACTAAAAGATCTGACCCAGTTTGATGAGACTTATGGTTTAGAAGATGAAAGCAGAGAACACTTCTCTGCTATATGAGGAATACTTACTTTCAACTCAGTCTTTTTACCCTCAGTCCATATTTTGTTAAAATATATAGAAGCAAATGTATCTATAGGCAGCTATACCGTATCCGCTATTCTAGTTAGGGAATTCTGGTGGAATAAAATTTAAATGCTAGAGATGCAGAGTTATATTTATGTCGGCTGAAAACTGAAAGAGAACTGTTATGAATTGTTTTACCTTTCCAAAATATATTTTGAAAGGACAAATAAAATTAGTTTGGTTCAGTGTTGCAGGATATGTAATACATACCCTTATTCCTTACTGGTTGAGCTTCAGTTCAGGAGCTTACTTTTATATAAACTCAGAATAGAAGTTAGAGATCTTTGCTATTAATACTACCTGTTTACTTGGTAAATTTTCAAAATGCATTTTATTACTTGAAAGACATGAGATAATAATCTTTATGATCACATAATCTTTTCTCCAAGTCAAAGAATTCTGCAAAATTTATAGGCTGGTAAACTGAGGTGGTTTTGACAACTCCGTGAGATTAGTAAGAGAGTGAGGAATAAATCTAAAAACTTTAAATCTTACTAAGTACGGAGAAAGTTCTTAGCATTTTCCACAATATAACTACACAACTAAAGTATGAACAACTTATTTCATACCAGTCTTTCCTATACCTTTTTAGGAAGAAAAAATGTTGGATTTTCTACAGCAGCACTGGAGAAACAGCTTTTTAGCACAAGTACCTTGGAGCTGCCTTTTTGAAGTTTCAGGTTTTGAGCAGAAAGTAATCAAACGGGAGGTAAGGAGAAAAAACAGCTGTGATCAAATCATACCTAATGAATACCCAGCAGTATGTATATGCTAGTGGGATATGTAAGCAAGCATGTACTTCAAGTTGTAAAACTTGGCTTACAAACAGTGGAACATTTGGACTTGAGAGAGCAGCTGCAAACACTGCGTGCAAGGCTGAGGGAGCGTGTATGTTCCAAGAGAACAACAAGCACATGTAGAAGGGCAGGTGAAAAAAAGTGTTAAGATGCAGGAGGAGTTAGGCATAGGAGGTCACAACCTCAACCATGCAGCTGCATTATTGCCATCATGTGTTAAAAACACCTCTGTTTGTAGGGAAGAGAGCTGCCACAGAGAAAGTTCCATGGGTGGTTAGTGGAAATAGCAGGGTTGTAAAAGAATATACATGGTGAATGGTGGGGTGTAGCCTAGTGAGTGAGACTTGTCAGAAGGTGTAAAGGATAATGCAGTCAGTTCATGAAGTTCCTCCACAAAATGAACTGTGATGGCTAGACAAAATGATGAGATGCTGACCTTGGCTATCACTGCTGTCGTTTAAGCTAAAAAGATTAAATATCAGTCCAGTAAACAAATTTCTGATTATTCTTGGGGTCCACCATGTGAGTTATGGGTCATAATGGTAAGCCAGCTTTAAATTATGCTTACTACCCTGGAACAACCTAACAATATGGACTGGTCTAAAATACCAGTAGACTTTTTAGACTTTTCATAGTAAGGTAGCCTTTAAAGCTGGTACTGCCTCTCCTCCAGAAATCTGTTAAAGCTCAGCACAGCAGGAAGTTGGGTGCTGGGGAGCAGCATGCATTTCACATGTTGCTCCTCTGAGGCTGAATGGAAAAAACAACAGACTTACCATGGGAACCCATGCAGCACATAATATACATGATTTTTCTTATAGTTTGAATGGGGACGGGGAAGATGTGGACAGCATGTTCCTGGCTGCTGAAGTATATATAACTTTTAAAACCTGTGCAATGGACCAGGTAATTTTCAGGGGGAAAAAAGCATCAATACAAAAGAAAAAAAAACAACAAATGAGATGCAGATTTTTCACATGGAAGTGATATGCACACACTGAGGCCATATATAGGTAAAAACATATGTCAAGTTTCACAAACGCATCAAAGTTGTATTACTGGAAATAATTTCTGAAGGCTCCATCCCCATATTCTTGTGTAACGCATTCCCACAGCAGCTGTCACACCAACACCCAATGCACCGCTTGCAGCATGAGCAGAGGAATAAAGATCTGGTGATTATTTCTGTGCAAATGCTTTTGCTTTTCTTTAAACCAGTATGAAAACTTGCAGAGAAATTGAAAAGCAAAGTCAAAAAATCTCAGACCAAAACCACTGCCAGAGGTTAGCTTATACATTAGGTTTCAGTGGTTTCACAAAGGAGCAAGACAGGAACTTTCCAGAAACAAGGGATGGACTTGAAAACACTGCCAGAATTTACCACCCTTTTCACAGGCAACCAGATCATTGCACAAGCACAGGTATGACAGACCAAGATGGGGCTGTGAACGGGTTCTCAGCACGTTATGGGTGCTAAGAAGTGAAACAAGAAATACAGAACTGCACAAAGGACCAAGGAAGAGCTGCAAGATTGAATTCAGAAGAAAAGGAGCACACAAAAGAAAATGTAGTTTAAGTAGCCTACTACGAGTTCATATGTTAACAAGTCTATGTGGAATCTGTTTATGATTGAATGCAACATCACTTATATAGTGATATTCTGAACTATACACAAAGACACTGTAAAGCCCTCACCTCTCTGAAGTCAGTGACAAAACTTGAATGGACTAAAGCAGGGCTAAGATTTCACCCATAACAATCATGTGAATAAAAGGTGCTTTTGTTACACTTTTTATGTCTATTTCTCCCTTCTTTGTTATTATTCTATTCATTGGTAGGAGGCAAAAGCAATCCTGCTGGTATTCAGAAACATTACTTAACAATTTCTGTACCAAGAAGAGGTCAGATTGTGGTTAAATGTTTCAATTGATTTAGCCTGTTGTTCTAGTTGTACAAGCTTCTTCAATAGTATTAATCATTTATGAGAGATTACTAAACTCTTCTGAGGATCCATTTTCTATGGATAGCTTATTTTCAACTGCTTGCTTAGGCGCTGAACTTCTGTCATGCAGTTGACTGTCTAAGCCCTCCAGTAATATGATTTGCTACTGGTTACAAGTTGTAACTGTATATTGTTGAGTACCAAGTGGATACTAATAAATAACTTATTTTCAGCCCAGTTAAGAAACATTCAGCTTTTAAGACCAGTGAACAAATTCATGAGTGCCCAGGAACTGTCTGAATATTCACAAATAGCTAAACCTCAACAAATAAAGCAACCTGCATTTGGAATTTTCACTCATAGAAGTATTTCTGAACCCACATTTGTTTGTTTGTACTTTTGCTACCATTTGCCAGCTCTGTAAACAAAAGATGTTTCCCAGTGCTAACACTTCACTCATTTTACTGTTTGCATTCCAGTGGTATCTAAAAAAACAAAAACAGCACAGACCATAAGCTAATACACTGCCCCCCAAACCTGAGTGGTTTTTAGCTATAGAAATCATGTCCTATGTTTGTAAATTATCAGATCATATTTAACACCAAAAATGTGAATGTGATTTTTTATCAGTCTTCCTAAAGCAAAAAAATGTTTCCATCAAAAAAAATTAAAAACCAGCTTTCTGATCTAAAGATAAGTCTGCTTCTCTCTATAATAAACACAAAGAAATGGTGCAGACATTTTTATTCCCTATAAAAATATTTTACAGTAGATTTTTATACTTAATTTATTTGTAATAGCTTTACTGTTTTGCTCTTCCTTCTGGCTTTAAAGTTTATGGCAGGTTTCATTTTGTAATTATAATTCTCCACATTACATTACAAGTAAATCATTTAGAGTAGTTAATTTTACTGATGTTGTCATTATATAAGAAGTCAGAAACAAACACATTATTTTAATTACTCTTTAAGTACTTGGCATCTTCAGCCCATCGGTATGAAAGTAAGTTGTCGGATGGGTGCCCACACTATTTTATTTATTGATGTTATTTTTCCCTTGTATGTAGCTGCAATATAACTAAGCAAACAGTATGTGTTGTACAGAGACAGGATGGTATTTTCAACAGCTATTTACATCAATAAGTGAGTGCACAATACAAACATTATCAAGATCACAGAAAATATCCTTGTAGCATCTCTCATTACCACTGTTTGTTGTTTTTCTTTTTAATACATTAAGTATTAGTATTAAAGTAATGCTAGCTGAGTGATCTTTCTCCCACCCTTTAGCAAAGTACTTATACTTTCCAGAAGGACTGATTTTGTATCATTACACTAATTATTATTAGAAAGGCAGCAAAATGGTGTTCTTTGAATTCTTTTTGACTGGTCCATAAAATACCACATCGACAAGGCCATAACAATTCAGAAGGCTGTGCTAGAGCAATAACAAAACTATAATACTTACATTTGCACATGTGGGGGCTGGAAACGTCCCTGGTTAATGTTGTAGAACGTGAATGCCTGTGTGGGGTTGGAGCTGTACTCATCCACTTCAATTATGAGTCTACTGTGCTGATGCCTTCTAGCTGCCATAATGTGAGACTGAGAGAAAGCCATGCTTGCACTGCGTAGTTCGGCTTTTTCAGGCAATCATAACTGCTATCTTCCTACATCGACGGAAGCAGACCATGACATCTCCTTACCTAATCAGCACACTCCCCTTCGAAAAACCTAAAAGCAAGATTGAAGAGAAGGAGCATAACTGTTTGACAGTTAATATGTTTGGAGTTGCTTTATTTAATAGGAGATGAAGGGAGGATATTGAGGGGCGAAGATACACAGCTCCAAGAACTCATCACAAACCTTTCCAACCTGCCAATTTGATGATCATACTTTAGCTGCAGGTGGGAAGCAGGGTGAGGAAGTAAACTTGCTAAAGAGCACAGGGGCAACTTGTTCTAGTATTTCAGACATTTAATACAAAACTTAAAGCCACGGCAGTCATTCAGAATGGTGTGTCAAATAATAACGTTTCTTCAACCCAATCATTTCCTTTCTTTTTTATTGCATTGCTGAATATTTATTACCCACCCACCTTCTAAAAAACAAAACAGCCCACTAAGCCTGACACTGAATACATGGGCATGCACAACTAAAAGGCGAGTTAATTAAACAAGAATGAGTTTAACCAATTCTTCAGAAAGTCTGCACCATTAATTACCAGGAAGCATTTCAAGTGGTTGCTCTTTACATCCTAAGGAACAGAGCAAAAGGCCTTCTGTGCCCTTGCTCCTGGTTTTATAGCATCACTGAAGGAAGTTGTGACAGAGATATGGAGGGCTCCCCCCTTCAAACACGTTCTCTTCTCAGTCAACACTAACCCAACATTCTGAATTCACTGGAAAAGAAAGCAATTCAGAGGCTAACACACAGTTAAATGTTACTAAGTATTAAAAAAAAGTAAAATCCGTACAGGTTTTATGCTTGGGAATAATTTTTTCCCTGAAGGTGACACAAGTCTAGAACAGCAGCACTGAAAACTGGTAGAGGAACAGCAAAGTGAAATCAACCGAAATGCAGAGTATCCCCTAGAAACAGCAGAAAGTAATTTAAATGTGAATTTTACTTTTATTTCCCAGTTTTAATAAAAAATGGATTATAAGATATAAAGGTGGGTATTTTTACAGTATAATTTTGCATCCTTTTAAAAAGTTGTCTGTCTTAAATATTTACTTTCATGCAAGTGAGGGCTCTTTTCTTCTAAGGAACAGAAGTGCTCTGCCTCAGAAGATGTATTTCATGAGAAGCCATGCTAGAATGCAGCAAGTCACTTAATACATGCAGTTTCTGGAAAGCAGAGCTACAAGTATTTTATGTGACCTTGCCGTTGTACCTAACTTCCATTCTGAAGGGACCACTGCCAACAGTGATGGATGTCTTCATAGTCACTCGAATTTTTAAAGATATTTACAGGTACTTAGGTCCAATTCAGTTCTAGTGGCAGTCAAGCACCTAAGCATCTTTAAAAATCTGGGCTTCAGTCTTTGCTTAACGACTGCAGATGTTAAGTGCTCCAAGAAGTGGCAGTGTTATTTTTGTTTTGGGAGATCTTTTTCTTAGGAAAGTAAAATGAGGGATTCAGCTTAGTTTTGTTAGCTGCTGAATGGCTATAAAATGATGACAACTTGCTGTCACTAACAACTGGCAGGAAAACAGTCTGAGAATAAAAGAGCAGATTCCTTCATGCCCTCCCCTAGAATTGAGTGGTAAGGAAATGGCAGAATAACAACAAAGAAAATTCTGGATTTTAAACACTCTCAGATGCCGTGTTCAGGCTACGGAACAAGCAGCAGCACAAAGGAATGTGCCAGAGCAGGAGAAGGGAAGGGAGGCATGATCCTTGTAAGAATAATCAAGTACAAATTGCTGCATTTAGGAAATAAGAAATTATGACAGCAGATGTGAAGAACCCTCCCTGAGGAGCTTTCTGTATTAAATGATGCATTTGTAAAGAAGTTTGAATAGGCAAGGTCAGAGATTTTATAGGGGGCAAACTGTTCTAAGTGAACCTACTTCTGTTTGAAAGAAACTATTAGAACTGGTGACCTCTAGAAATATTCTCCAGTAAGATTAATAATTTATGATTCCAGAGCTCTACATAAGGATTTCAAACTACCTGAAAGACACAGCCTTTGTTTTATAATTCAGGGATTATGCCCACTTTACACACAACTACAGTTACAAAGGAGTTAAGGCACTGCCTTAGGGACCCAGAATCTCCCTCTGGCCTTAGTAAGTTCTCAGGAGCTCACAGCAGCTGAGAAAACAGCTTCTGTCAGCCTCCTCTTCAGGTCCTGTCTTTCATGACTTATCTCAAGTTATACATCACATCTCCTGCAGAATCAGTGTATTCATGTAGGTACCCTAATATCCACTCTTGAGCTCTGCCTCCTCATTCTGGTTAAGTGGAAAATAGCACTTACCAACACAAACTCAAAAGAACAAATTTGTTTGCAAACAGAAACAAAACCACAGCCAGCACACCGCCAATATACCCTTTAGTGCTGAAGAGTTCTCAGAAGCAGGGAATCAAGCCATGCACATGGGAGAGTGTGTGAATCATACTATTAGGCCAGCTTGAGAGGATGCTAGCCACAGGCATTCAGCAAGAAGTTCACCACATAAACATGTAGGAAACAGAAAGACAACATATTTACTTGAGGTAAGGAAAAAAAGAAAAGAAGAAAACATACGGAAAGAAAAAAAGGAGGAAAAAAAACCCAGTATTCCACAGCACTGCTAATCCTTCTGCCAAATGACAGTCACCCAACATCAACCCTGCACACATAAAAAGCATCCAAGACTTGAAAAGAAAGAGCCAAATCCTGCAATAAAAATTAAATAACTAGCAATCATATGAATAGCCTGTGATAAACAAGAATCAGATATGTAACACACATAATCAGTAAGCATAATTCAATAGCCAGCTTCATTCAAGCTCATTTCAGAAACATACACAGATGTCTTTGAACCTTACCTTTCAGTCTAGGGTTTTCTTCCTGCATAAGTGGTTGGCTGACTACTAACATTCTTCGTGTTCGACAGAACAAGCTGTCTCTTTGCAGCTTGACTGATAACCAGACTGACACCCATTACTCCCCTCTTTCTGTTTCCATTTTGAACAGTTCCCAAATCATAACTTTTTCTTTCTTTTAATATTCAGAACTTTCTTCCTTTCCCAAACCAGGGTATAAAATGCAGCAGGGAAATAATTATCTGCTTCTATAGCATGCAAGTTTTAAGATTATATGCCCAGCATTACCAACACAGAGTATTAAAACTCAAATCCCCACAGCAACAACATGCTAACCATCCTCTTCCCCCAGACTTATGGAGCTGCGGGATGTCTGCCAGGGAAAAACAGAGAAATGTAAAAAGGACTGCAAGAACATGAATACTAAAATAAATATCAGAAACCTGGCTGTTAGAATCACAGACTGAGAAAAATCTATTAAATCAGCTAAGCCATCTTCTTACTGATGGCATGAATGTTCTCCATACATTATATTTCTGCTGCTTTCTCTAGCATATGGTCAAATGCTCTCAAGAGCTCTGACCCAAAGCCCATTGTGTACAATGGACACTGGTCCACCGTCTTCAGAAGGCTTCGCATCAGTCCATAAACTACATGAATTGCAACATCTGTCCTGAAGCAAGCCCTTGAACCCAGATGTATATTTAAACCTTTTGATGAGGTCCTCAAATAAATCTTTGTATTAAGATTTTTCTTTTTCAGCCTGAAATTTCTGGTATTTTCATCTCACAGCCTTCCTGTATAGCTGGCATAGTTATTTCCCTCTTTTACATAAATTTTCCAGCCTTTTTATGCATCCTGTTTCTCTCCTTTTTTTTTTTTTTTCATTTCAAGCCAACATTTTATTATAATCTAACTTCTTCATTCTCAGATTCTGGTTTATTTTGTGTTCATCTTTCAGTTCACTCTCATGTCCACTAATCTCTTGCTATATCTCATTCCATCATCCCCACTGTTCCCTTCATCATCTGCCCTTTGTCTCAAAGCCTAAAAACAACAAAAAAGGGCGTTTTCATGCAGCTATAAAACATCAAAGTCCTTTTTTCTTTTTTTTTTTTTTAGGGAAAGACAGTAAGATAATAGCAGTAAAATACCTTAAAGAAGCACATGAGAGTCTGTGATAGACCACACAGTGTGACACACTTGCTTCTTGAGTAAATTTTGGACACTGTTAACCAGAAACCCTTCCAAGAGCTTGCCCAGGGGTTCAGGTCAGGTCTTCCCCATGCAGCACTGCAGTGCTTTTCATAAGCTGCCAGGTCATCCTTTAAACAGGGAAGTAGACCATTTAAACCAAAAAAACCCCACATTACAGAGTATTTCACAGCAGTGGTCACAATTGTCATAGTAACATTTCTATAACCACTAGTGATTGGCTTCATTACCACAAATTACTATTTTTGGCTCAAACACAACCCCCCAAAGCTTGTTCTAGACTGACCACCATGAAACTGGTAAAGCAATCGCTCACTATGAGAAACAGGTTGAAAATGGTAAAGGGTTTTTTGCTGTCTAAAATACCCATTCCAGATAGAAGACAATCAATGGAACTAGTCTGCTATCTTCAGTTCTGCTATCTGGAAATGAATACTGAAATAATCCTAAAAAGTCATTATTCTGTGGGAAAGGATGAGCCAGGCAAATCAATCTGCAAATGAAAGCTTTACTAAAGAGATACACTCTCCTCTTCCTCCTCTTCATTTTCTGAAACACAGTGCAAGTCCTGGCAAACCAAAACCACCAACTCTTCCCTGAGAAGACAGGATTTACTTGACAAATTAGGACTCTAAAGTGAAGCCAGCATAATCAAATGTCATTAAGACACTTTTAGAATTAAAGGTTGATTGTGCACCTTTCTACTTTTCTAAATAAGTATGATTTATTGCAGACAGAAACATTTCTCATTGCATTTTAAAATAAACAAATAAAACTGCAATGTGTGGAAGTGAAATATGCACTTGCAAGCCCTCTTCCCAAAGCAAATGCTTTATGTACCTGCAATTTGTGTCAACGAGAACTAAACAACAGCATAAAAAAAACGAGCAGGCTCCTCAAGTATATCTGAATTACAGTCTCATAACCTGTGGTGCCATTTAAGGTGTTTACCACCCTTACAAACCTCCCAGAGCTCATCATGATAAATGGAGTGATTTAGATATCCTGACGGGAATATCCTGCTGAACCCTACTTCAGCCCCAGCAGCAGTACAGCATTTGAGAGCGTTAGTTCTTCTAAAAGCCAGTTTAGCACTGGTGAACGTGCCAGGGTGACAGCCTTCAAGCCTACAGCCCTCTATCCCCAGCCCAGACAGCGTGCAGAGGGGCTGGCACCCACACCAGGCCTGGCGCCATTCCCCAGCCCACTGGTGCGCCTCAGGCCTCCACTGCAGAGACCTCCAAAGCACTCCCTATCCATACAGGCCAAGAAATCCCCTGGTTTAAGCATCAAATAAATGTACAAATGGGTTTTGTAATGCAGATTTATCTTAAAAAAAAAAAATGAAACACACTCACTGGTCCGTTCTGTGAGTACCATGAGAAGGCAACACACACTGCTCCATCTGCTCCTCAGAGGATAAAGCGTATGCATATTGCTGTGCAAGTCTGTAAAGTTGTCCTAAGGTCAAAACACGGAATAAAAGCTTACAAATGGTTCTTTACCATGGCTCTTACTACAGATTTCACAATCCTCATCTGGTAACTAGAGCACATATGCTCCACCATGGTATTTTCAAAAACCTTCGCCCATGGTGTATCTTTAATTGAAAGATTTTAAGCATCCCGTTTTTCAGTCTCTGCTCTCTTCAGTAGCTTCTGCTGAAAGAAATTATACCAAACCCATGATTTATTAAGGAAACTGGATGGTCTTTTTAAATCATGTTTGAGATAGTTCTCCGTGCCAATGAATCTAAATTTGCTAACTGTTACCAGTTAAATACTCAGTTCTGTGACCGTGTCTTTATCCTCAAAGTCAGAGCTATTCCCATTCACATAGCCAAAACTAAGGGGCATAATTCTGAGTTACTGGTAGGCCTCAAAATCTCACTCACTTCTGTGAGAAGAAAAGTAGTATATCTATCCTCTTTTGTTTAGAATCTTCTATTTAACCTACCAATGAACACTTCAGTGCCTCATCATACATACCACGTTAACTGCAGATCTACAGAGTACTGTGCAATCTGTTTTGTAATGTGTAAAAAGATCAGTGACTTAAATAAGACTTCTTATTTCCCTGTGCTTACAATCACCTTAACCTGCATTACAAAAAAAAAAAAAAAAACACACAACAAAACACCACAACAAAATCCCCCAAGATATTTCTCACCATGCTACCATGCTAAACCACACATCATTGTTCTCCTTTGCTGATTATAATGACCTGTCAAATACGGTATGACAAAATTCTTCAATGAAATTATTTTTTTTCTTCAAATTAGTTTTCTTCCACTGCTCTCAAATGCAAATATTCTATGTTTCTCTCATAACTTTATAAAGAACACTAACATACTTGATAGCTTAAACTGTCATAAAAAAATTATATAGACACATCAAGTAAAAAATGAAAGTATTTGTCTTTTTTGAACTGCGCCCTAATGTCCACTTTCCTCCAAAAATACACTGTACCTACTATATGCCAAAGTTCTTACCATGAATCCAGAAAAAAAGATAAATAAATGAGTTCAGAAAACACAAAAATCATACATATACCTACAAAATCCAATTCTGCATTTATTTAAAGGTTAGAAACCTTTTTAGCTAGTCTTATTTTGAATGATGACTTCATGATTTAAAATCACTTTTTCTCATTTCCCTACCTAGGTTCCCAGAACTACAGTATCAGAATATTCTATTTTTTAGGATTTAATTTTATTTTGGCTCAACAGCAGCATCATTTTCTAAATCAAATTCTCATCCATACAGATAATTGTTCATTTATTCAAATTAAAAAATAAACACAAGCTAATAATACTGCTTTTTTTTCACCTTTAACTTCCACTTTACAATATATTCAATATATTTTAGATTTAAAAACTGCAAGACTAAGATTTACAAATAGATTGAACATTTGTCAAGGCTAAATGTATTATTGTAATCTTACATATGATCTTGCCTGAATGTATAAAACATTATCATATTTGGAGAAAATATTTAAATGCATACATTTTTCTTACGCAAAACCAAATCTTTTCCCTGAAAAATATACCGGTTTGGCTCAATACTACCTGTATTTATTCCAAAATACCTGCAGAGGTAGCTAATCTATTTAAGTAATTAACTCTAGGGGAAGGAAATTTTAAATAAATATCTAAAAGCCATAAAACTCATTCCTCACTCTAACAAATTTGCCTTCAGTATTTCAAAATCTATTACATTACTGAAAATCATGAGTATACATTCATAAAGAACAAATTACATGTCCCAGAATTAGGGAAAATAGATAAAATACAGGTTATGGGGGGGAATTATCAAAAATGGACATTTCAGCAGGACTAAAGTAGGGTTGTGAGGATTTGATTCTACATTTCAGTCTGCAATTTGGGCATATGATCTGATTAACCTCTTGAATCTCTCAAAATATTATTTACTAAGAAGACTAAGTACTGAAATGTTACATATTTAAGAAACAGTTTGGTTTCATTTTTAACTGAGGAATTTTTGCTTTCACCCTTTCGTGACAACTGGCCTCACATTCATTTCCAAGCCTTAACCTGCACAACCCCTGCTGGGTCAAGTCCCACTTGCCTGCAACACATACTTTATCCTGACCAATTCCAATGGAAATTGTCTATAAATGCACAGAATTTGACCAATTTGATCATTCATGCGTATCTGAGGGCAGAATACATCCCTTCTGGTTTAGTGTGTTCACTCTGATACCAAACTTCCATCAGAATATGTCATGTCTATTTAGTAGACAGCTGTAGTTTCCACGTAAACATTCAAAACCAGCATTAGTGTGTGGGTCAGCAACATACAGCAGAGGTGAATGGCACGCAACACCCCTGGAACAGCCAGCAGTAGAGACAGCAACTCCCCTGCTCTGCATTTAGCAGGAGCCAAGGGGCTGCTGCTTCATATATAGGAATATTAACACTTTTAAGACAGTTCATAAGATCTTCCCCATTTGTGCAGCAGCACCTCTCGGCTGTGGATGAATTTCTATTGCAAATAGTCTTGTCCGATTTCAGAAAGAAATCTGACACCAACAACTCTTGAAATGTTGCTGATCTCTACGTCAATACAAAGAACGGAAAATAGAAGTGGTCAATCTATTCCAGTAGTTCAAGATGATTGAAATGCCAAAGTACCAGCACACAAACATATATATAAGGTGGAATGTAGAACACAGCTTACACGTAAATATATTTATAGTGACACTACTTCTGAGATCAGTGTGCCTTTTTCTGTTAGGGCCTGGAGTTAAATTGTGGACTTAATAATCAAGCTTAATTTTCTTGGAAAATTAAGTATACTGTCCTATTAATTTTGTTGTTTTTACTTTTCACTCATTTAGCTGCATCCATCCCATTGAAATTCTTCATTTCATTTGATTCATGTTCAGGAAGGGATTCACTGGGTTTGTTCTGTCTGTTTTTCCAGGCATCTTCCCCAGGACTAATACAAGGAAAAAGTACTCAACAGTTCGTTTGGCCACTCACTTCTCTTACCCAAAAAGTCATGTCCACGAAGAGCCCCCTACATGGTCCATATGAAACTGAAACAAAGGCAACCAAACCCTTTTCTTAAATGAAAAAGAGACAGGAAAGATAGAATGGGGGAAGTCCCAGACACACAATTCTGAAGGGAAGCATTTCAGGTCAAACACCTCTGGATATTCATCAGACCTAAAATGGATCCTACTGATTAGCAAAGCATCCAGTCCACAGTGCCCTTCTCACACAGGGATGCTTCAAATCACTGCTCTCCCTGAAGCTGAAGAGTTCATAAAAGAAGCAAGGCTCAGGAGAAGAGCTACATGGAGAGTGCACACATGGCACTCCATGGCAGCTAGGCTAGATCAGGTGGAAGCTATCACACTGCAAAATACTGGGAAGGCTGTGACAAGTGACAGGAATTGTTGGACAGTGCCAAGGCTGGCTGCCTCCGAACTGTGACTCTGAGCTGTATGCACTGTACATCAGCTGATTTGCTGGCTGCTTAAAAAATTGTTTTGAAAATTGTATTTGTACTGACTACAAATTTTCATGCTACGCAGAAGTGCTAAAACAAAGCCAAACGGTTTATGGGTGAAAAGTAAAGGAAGATCAAAATGGAAAAATACTTAAGAGGAAAACACTTAAGTAGTGAAATGATTTCAGTATGCATTTTTAGCTTTTCCTTTCCACCTTACTTGATGAACATGGTGAAACCAGAACATTTTTTTGGTCTTGCCAAATCTGAAGTTTCTACTGAAATGCACTGAAGCTGGCATTTTTTAAGTCTGGGTTCTTGTTCAAGGTACTAGATTATTAACTACTCCCACTATCTAAGTTTTAATCCATCCCATCCTTGCCACAAAGTATCTGGAACTTTTACCAGAAACTACTTATACTAGAGTCAAAGTGTTGAGGGGCAAAATTGAGATGCACTTCAGAACAGCAACACAGTAAAGATAAAGACCAAGTAAGAATTTTTTTTTTTTATTTTCTACCAAAGAACCAGAATAAAGGCTGTCCCACAAAATCAAAATAATCGTAATACATATTAATACTAGAATATT